GGGGGGGCGCTCAGGTTGCCTTCAGGGCAGACCTTGTTTGGCTTGAGGATAAAGGGATCAAACCACAGCATCCTGAGCCTGACTGCTTTGTTTCAGAAGGCACTTAAATACCTGAACTAATGGGCAGGCCCCCAGTCCTTCTTTTCTGACTGAGCCACTATCCATGGGCATGTTCAAGTTCTGAGCTTAGGCCCAAGAGACTTAGATGCCCAACTGGAAGATTATGTGGTTTGTCCTATCTTCTCTTCCACTGTTAAATGAAAAATGCTGGGGTTATCTGTAGGAATTACAGAAATTTGAGTCACAAATTATACCATGATGGAGATTTCCCCAGGAAAGGTAGATGACTGCCTTACCAAGCTAGAGCTTAGCATAGTACAACTGATCTTTAGCTTTCCAAGCTGAGAAATTTGCTTCTTTCCCACTTGAACATACTAATTAAATATCTCTTGTGAAGAAGGCTCTGTCAGGCTCACTAAAGTTAGACCATAGTATGCCTTTATATTGATGCAGCATGAGAATAGAATTGTGGTGATGCCAAATATTTGCATCTTGTGGACAAAACACTATGCTTCCAGAAATAGAGAGCTAAATGCTAATCAAAAAGTTGCCTATGGATATGGAATCCCCATAAGGAGAACAGAGAGAAACACTGAGCTTCAAATTTATCAGAGCTGTCATCGACACCAAATAAGATGCTGACAGGTGTGGACAAGCTACGTGGTTCTACTATCTGGAGGCAGAATTCTAGTCATAACCCTTTTCTGTAGTAGATGACAGTATTGACCTAATGATTCTGTCCTGCATAATGTGTGCTCTTTACTATCGTTCTGTAGTTCACTATACTTATATCAGAGGGCGTTTTCTTACCCTTTGATTTTCAGGTCAGCCATATATGTTTCTTTGGCCAATAGAATGAAGTAGAAGTAACAATGTTCAAGTTCTGAGCTTGGGCCCAAGAGGCTTCGTGTTTTTCAGCTTGCCCTCTTTTGTCCTGCCCATGGTAGGTTTGCCTAGGCTCAGGAGAGCATGAGCCCCATGAAGTAGAGTTATGCCAGATAAACCCAGCCTAGATCAGGCAATCTCCAGCTGACCAGAAGCTATTTGAGAGATAATGAATGATTGTTATTTCATGCTTTAATTCCTTTTCTCATTGTTGAGACAAAATATTTGACACCTAAAGTTAAAAGAGGAAATGTTTATTCCAGCTCACTGTTTTAAAAGTTTCAGTCCATTGCTGGCTAATTCCAAAGTAGGATGGCATGGCAGACAGACAGCACATGGGCAAAACAGCTCATAGCAGGACAGGCAGAAAGCAGCGAGCAACGGCAGCAGCAGCAATCCTACCTTCTTTCTGTCCCTTTATAGTCCATGCCGGCTACAATTCTGTTGGTGCCTCTCACACTGAAGGAGATGTTTCCATTATCTATACCTTTAATCCCAATATCACACCTTTAATCCACATTCACATGTCTTAATCCAGCCACCTATAAAACTCCCACCTATGACTGCATGAGGCTTTGGAGGAACATCTGTGTATAAACCATAACATATGGAATTTATGGATTGTTTGTTACACAGGAATATCTCCCTGACATATCCTCTAACCATAATTTTCTGGATTGTGATAGAAGAGGTACTCCTGCTCCTGTATTCCTCCAGGATTTTAGACTGGTGTCTCCAGTCATTAGGAAGTATCAACCAGGCCAATGGTAAGTTAGAGGAG